TTATTTCTTATTAAAATTATAAATTTTTATATAGAGAGAAAATTTTAATTTTCACTATATTTTATTAGTAAATTTAGTCTCTGAGTCATTACTTTTGGTCTTTACTGTATATATATATTAAAAAATAACTAAAAAATTAAATAATTATAATTTATTTTAATTTTAATTATAAATATATTTATTAAAAAATATTTTATATTAATAATAATTAGCTTAGTTAAAAATTATATAATAAAAAAAATTAAAGTTTAATTTTAATATTAAAGAATTAAAAAATTATTAATATTAAATATAAAATATATAAATTATAAAACTTTTATTTTATTAATTATATTAATTTAAAATTTAATATTAATAAAATAATTTTATATTAAATAAAAAGTTAAATATTATCAAGTTATTTAATAATTTATTTAATATTTTATTTTTATATAATAATAAAACTTTAAAATTATAAATAATTATATTTATTATTTTAATTTATAAAACTAATAAATATAAAAACTACTTATTTATTCTTTTAAAATATTAAAATTTATTTTATTATTAATAAAATAATAAATAATATTATAATAAAAATTCTTAAAATAATTTAATAATTTATTATAATTAAAAGCTTATTATTTTCTTATTAATTAAAATAATATAAAAACAAAAAATATTTTAATAGAATTTTTAAATAAATAGAAATGAATTATTTATTTATATATATAAAAAAATAAATAATTTATTATATAAAAATTTAAAATATAATATCTTAAATAAGTTATTTAAAAAATATTATAGTTAGATATCTTTATATTTATATTTTTTATAATTATTTTTTTAAGTTTTTTAATTATTAATTAACTATAATTAAAAAATTTCTTTATAATTATATCTCTTTTAGTTATTTAATTTATTTTTTTAAATATAATAATAAGATTTAATTATAATTATTAATTTTTATTAAATAATATATTTTAAAAAATTTTTTATAAAAAATTTTTTATTAAAATTTTTTAAATCTTTTAATATTTTATAAGTTATATAATAAAGTATAATAATAGATACAAAATATTATTATAATAAATAAAAATCAGTAAGATTAAGAAATATTTTTCTAATAAAAAAATTTAATAATATAATTATATAATAAAGAAATTAATAAAATAATTATATTTAATATAATTGTATAATAATGAAATTAATAAAATAATTATATTTAATATAATTATATAATTAAAAAAAACTTATAATATTTTTTATTTATAATAATAAATAAATATTTAAATATAATTTTTAATTAATATATTATAAAATTAATAATTTAAACTATTTAATATAAATTTTAATTTAATAATATTATTATTTTATATAATTAATTATTATAATTTTTATCTTATATATTTTATTTTTTATTTTTAAAATTAGTAAATAATATTAATATTATAATTTTATTTATTTATAATTATAAATAAGATAAAATATGAAGTAAATAAATTCAATTTATAATTACTTATAATTTTATTATTTAAATAATATTTAGATATTTAGATATAAGAATTAAAATATAAATAAAGTAATATATTTATATGAAATAAATAAATATAAAATGTTTTAACTATATCCATTCTCAGATCTAAATAAAAAAATGTTATCATAATGAATTCTTCATATATAAATTATTATTTTATCATATATAAAATAATTACCATATATAATAATATATAGATAAATTAATAATTTAGATATACATAAATTTTACTTAATTAAATAAATTAATAAACTTATATTATATTTCTTAAAAGTTGATTATACTTAATTTAATAATATAATAATTAATAAATAATAAAAAAAAACAAGTAAAATTATAAAAAATTAATTAAAATTAGAAATAATAATTAGATATGATTTAATATAAAAAGATTAATATATTAATATAAAATTAATATTTATTTCTAATAAAAATTATTCAAATTTTAATTAATCTTTATAATTTAATAAAATATTATTATGATAAATTAGTAAGTGGGTTTTCACTTGAATTTATCTTAATGATATAGGATTAGAAGAGATTGAAATAATTAAAGGACAAAGAGAGGTGAATTAAACTATACTTTCAATAATGATCAAAGATTTATAAGATCTGTATCAATATCTACAGATATTGTCTTAACAAGAGATAAAATAATAAAGAAAGAATATAATAAATCAAATATATTATAAAAATCAGCTTAAAAGCCACTAGTAATCAATACAATTCAAGATTTGAAGTGATTAAATAGTAAAACTACTACTAATCAAGAAGACTATAACTAATAAAAAGGTAAAAACTAAAGTGTAAAAACTAAATAATTAAACAAAAATAAGGTATGACTTATTTATAATAGAGGTCTTCTACTCTCAAAAATAATAAAACAAAAAGTCATCTACTACTTTCTTTGTTCACTCATTATTCTTTGTGGAAGTGGTTCGATACATCACCAACACAAGAACTTATCAATCGATAATTAATTATTACTGCTTCTTGATAGTTCACAAGTATATCATCTCATTACGCATGCCAAACTAGCAAAAATGTCTGTGTCAATTTCTGTTGTTGATCAGTCAATAGTTAGTGAAGATATCAATAAAACCGAAAACATTAATATCTTCTGCTGAAAAAAATAACACTAATAATGAAAATATTAATGAAAATAGTAATAGCAATAGCGGTAATACCAATAATATAACAACAACAGCAGCAGCAGCAGCAGCAGCAGTAACATTGACAACATCATCAACAGCATTATCTGAATATTTCCCGGATTCTGTAGATATATCCACATCAACGCTGCCTGCTATTAATGCTAGAACAACACTGTTAATTCTACTAGTACACCATCACTAACAACAATGGCAAATTCAAAACGTCACGACAATCTACAGATCCCTCTGTACGGCCACCGTATCAAACTGATACAGAGCCGCCGCGTGAAATTAATTTTAAAGTTATATTTCATCCTGGTTTACACGTGGATCACAGTGGGAAATATGGAAATAGGAAAGTGTACCGTTTAAACGGTCAAGTAGGGCCTCATT